GAAACATATTCTACCCAACACAAATTAATGAAAAACCAATGGAACATTGGTTACGTTATTAGAGTGGTCGGTACGTGCAACATGTTAAAAGCATGTTATAGTTTTATTTTGGTGTAATTTTATATGTATTATTATTGTTATAAGACCAATTGAGGAAACAATCACATTTTATAACACTCATTAATTTCTATGTCATCGTTTTTTTCGGTTTATTTTTTAATATTTGTAAAAAGAAAATTAGCTAAAATCTAATTTTCCAATTAAAGTTAACATTTAAAAACTAAAACAAACATTAAAACAAAGAAAAAAGAACACTTTAAAATGAAAAAAAAAAGACATTAAAAGAAGAAAAAAAAATATTTTTCATTAAATTCACTATGCTTCATCTTATTTATCATCGTATACGTCGTCTACATCTACCATCATATCTCATTTGAAAAAATTAATACTTCATTTGGAAAAATTCATAACTCATTTGAAAAAAAATATTATGCAACCGTATGAATATATTTCGTTTGGAAAAATTCATACCTAAACATATATTTAATAGGTAAAAATATATTTATTTTATCTAAAAACTACGTTTAAAATATACAAAAATTGAAAGAAACGATATCTGCTTTCCAAGGCGTTGGTTATCCGTACAAACACATTTTTTCACAAACGAAACCTTCTGTTGAAATCGTTTAGTGGTAGATATAATTTTCCGCAAAATAATCGTGAACTACAAGTTCGTATCTTTCTTCACAATTTCTGTTTAATATTGTATGTCTTGTTAATGGAGGTGTTGGATATGGTTGTAGTAACACGTCCGTATAATACTTGTATATCGTACTAACGAAGATATCATCATCAGTGTCGGAAAGGTCGAACGGATCTATTTTTATTTTTTGTAAAAGTATTGATATTTTATAAAATATAAAGAACAAAAAAAAGAATGGTGTGAATGAGTTTGACGTTGAATATATGTATTTATAGGTAATAAACACTTTTTTTTATAAAAGATGATCGTTAACACGCTCAAAAGGTCAAACTAAACTCAGTTTTGATTGGGTGAAATACGTGTTGCAAGGCGTTCTCGTTACCACGAGGGATAACTTAACGACATCGGGCGGTGTTTAAGTCGTTCCCACGGCGTGAAGCCAAGTCCATGCCGACCTTAATGTGTCACAACTAGGAATTCTAATGCTTTTATAAACATTAACAATGATAACATTTGTGACTAAAACTTGAAAGTATGCATGATGTTTATTCAATAACACCAAAGTTCCATCAATCACCCTATGCAAACACTTCAAATAGTCAACAAAAGATTGGAAACCCTAAAAATCCCGGTTTAAGTCCATTATGGACTAGGATTTCCTTATTCGGCCTAATGGACCAATAAGTTTCCAATTTGACTAGTTTGGGCTTAGAACCCTTAATTGGGCTCTAATTCAACCCACCTTCATGAGATTTGACATTTTTGGCCCATATTGGGCCTAAAATGGAAATAAACTACATCAATAAGCCTTATTGGGCCATAACTAGCCTAATTAACCTTATTGGGCCATAACTAATCTAATTAGCCCTAATGGGCCACAAACCTAATCTTTTATGCTAATTGGGCCGTGAACCACCCTAAGGGCCCAATGGGCCGAAAACTTCTTTATGGACCTCATGATTTCAAGTAAGGATCAAGAATTAGGCCAAAATGAATCCTCTTCCCTTCTTAATGCAATTCTCGGCCCATTTAAAAAGAAAGAAAAGATTAGAAGAAGAATTAAGATAAAATGGATTAAGGAGGAAAATTGTGAGCATGCCACCTCCTTATTGCATGGTGGACATCCATGCAATGTCACCTCACCCTCTCTCCCCTCTTCTTTCTCTCTCTCTCGCTCGGCCGAGAGCATCAACACACACACACACACTTAATTCACTTCCAAATACTTCCAAATCCTCTCAAGAACACCTTCATTCTTCCATCAAAATTTCGAGATTTGCAAGCATTCCAAGAAGGTTCTTCACTCATATCACAAATCCTTGGTAAGTTTTTACTTAGATCCATGGATTAACTTCTATATCTTATCAAAAATCTTCTCTTAATTCATTCAAATTCATGATCATGCTTCTTAGAACCCATCTAAGCCCAAAGATTTCTCAAAACGCTTGCTAGGGCCGAGAATCACCTCAACCCCTTCCATTTCTTCTTCAAAACCATGAGAAACAAAGCAAGGTGAGTTTGTACCCCCTTGTTTTCGGTTTTTACATGTTTTTGGGGGAGAATACAAGTACTATGTGTTGATATATGTGTGTATGCGTGTTATATGTGATTTCTTTGGTTTATGTTGTGAAAATATGATATTATTTGCTAAATCTTGAAATCTATGGCTAAAGTGTGAAGAATACATAAACAATGTACATAATAAAAACAACTTACTTCAAGATCTAAGGATCTTTAGGCTTAAGAAGTGAAAACAAAGTCAAAATCCTTATAAGTGTCATTTTTGCAAAAAATAACAAAGTTTGGGTAAAATATGATATTTTCGGTTTTATAAGGACAAAATAGTATTATTTACATAGAAATCTAACTTTTATGAAAATAACACTTGTCTAGGGGTCAAAAACATAAATATTAGCTTAATGGGCTTTAAATTTGGGTCTTACGAGTTTTGGGCCCAAAGTTGCGAAAAATGAAGTATTTGAGGGGCTGAAATGGAAAAGTTAACAAACTATGAGTTTAAAACGTGAATAAAACTGTTTTAAGGGCTGAAAATGACTTTGATGTAAAAATTGGACTAAAAATGCAAAGTTTTCTACTTTGGGGTGAAAATTGTAAAACTTACGGAAATTGAGCCAAAAATGTAAACTTTTTTCAACTAAGGGCTGGAAATGGCAAATACAATAGTTTTGGGCTGAATTTATTATTTCAAATCAAGTTTGGGTCTAAAACGTCAAGAAAAACAGTTTAAGGACCAAAAATGTCAATTTTCATAAAAGGGGACTAAAAGTGCCATTTTTATAGATAAAGGGGCTGAAATGGTTAAACTAAATGTTTTTGGGCCAATTAGACGAATATTAAATTATTGGGTTAAAAATATTAAGGTTATAACGCATGGTTTTAAATATATAATATATATATATATATATATATTATATATATATATAATATATATATATATATATATATATATATATATATACGTATAACCAAAGCTTCGTTATAAATCACACGTCAGAGTAATTTAATACTTCGAATAAACATTTCGCTTACAACAAATAGCTATATTACGAACTTAAGATCAATAAATTATAAATGATTCAATGGTTGGGCTCAAATATCTTTTATTCGTGCTATTGGGCCTTTATGACCCAATATCATGATTATTGGGCCCAATATAATCACACATGTTTATTGGGCTTCCGGTGACCCAATTACATACCCAGTGGGCCTTTATCAGCTTTAATATGCTATTAGGCCTTAATGGTCCATTTGCATTGCTAATAAGACCCTAAACATTCATAATATGCTTAATGGGCTATAACGTGTTCGTAGCATACTCGACAGCCTGTAATAACATACAAAGTTATTGGGCCTCCGTAGTCCTCTTCTTTTCGTCTGTTAGGCTTACCTTTATTCAAGTAAACATAAATCGGGTTGTAAAACAATGTTATTCAATTTCTTTTGGATTTAGTGAGAAATAACGGGTGACACCAATAAGTGTCGGTCGTAGTCTGTAGTTATAATTAAAGTCTCTTTGGAGGGAGAGCGAGAGTTTGTGTATAGATCTATACAGGGGTGACTCCCCCACACCTAAGTTGTTCGCTACAGTTAGACTCGGCCAGTCTAGGGTGACAAAATCTTGATCAAAACCGGCGTTTGGATAAAATGCAAAGACAGACGAATTTGTCATTATTATGCATGGTTATAACGACTCACATAAGAGATCCAATACCATTTTAGTATTCATGGGAAATCATATTCATACACGGTGATGATGCAAAGTGATTCATACAATAATACAAAACTATCATACCATTTAAATTGGAAAACATCGGGTCTTCCGGGGAAACGACATTATTCACTTCTACATACAACAACTATAATACAAGGAGTAATTATGAAGAACATTCACTTTTACATGTATTGAAATCACATACATATGCACTTATGGGATCATCACATCTTTTTCGAAAAACAGTTGTTGTTACAGAAAATATCGGATTTTCTGGGTTTTACAAACAATACAAACTAGTTTTTCACATCAAACCTGCTTATGAACTCACCAACATTATATATGTTGACCGTTTTCAAAATAACTTGTGTTATCAGGTAACCCGTTAGAATGAAGAATTATCAAGCATGTGTCTGAATGTCTTTTGTGTGACGTCATTCGATAAACAATTTATGTTTGGGATTATGTAATGTAAACAATGTACTTGATGTGAACAAGGTCAGTTGTAATGTATTAATGCATGGTGATATTTATGTTATGATTCATGTATATTCATTGTGATGATATTTCAATTTAAGTCACACGAGCCCTCGGACGTTTCCGCCGTCTGGTTCGGGGGTGTAACAGGTTGGTATCAGAGCTTTGTTTATAGTGAATTAGCATATCTAACCATACATGATATGCAACTATAAACACAATGGGGCTAAATAACTCTGAACAGAGTAAATAAAATACTTACCTATGTGCGTGTTTTAGGATAACAGCATAATACTAAACAATAAAAGTCTTTGGGGGATTTGAACGTTGCGATTTAACCTGGGTAGTTATGTAATCGTATTGGGGATCAATGTAGCCTGATCAACTACATTCATTCAAAGTACGATCAACATATGTATGGGAGTAATCGTGATGGTCAATAAACTGAAAACTTACCATCTAACTATCCAAATAGGTTAGAGGAACTAAACTTAAGAAAAATAAACACTGTAGGAGTATATTAAGAATACTATCCTTATACACCCCAATGCACACACTTTTCACACCTACACTTCCCACGCAGGCGATATGGCAGGAATGCAGCAAGACGTCCCCTACTATCAAGCTCTAGTAGTCTATGGGGAGATTGAGGTGGGTCTAGATGACAATCCTAAAGGAAACCCTGAAGGAGGCCCTGCAATGGGTCAGGAGGTGGGACCCGGAGTGGAACCGGAAGAGTGCGTGGTAACTGATTACGAATATGACGAATCTGACCGGGAGTCAGATGAAGGAAAGGACATTAAGGAGACACCTAGTAAGCCCCACCCATCGGAAGCCCTACCAGACCCACACACGAATCAGGAAAGTAATACAGACTACATACGCTCTCTTGAGAAAGAAATACCCAATCTCAAGCGTCAACTCTTTGCGGCCGAAGCTAGAGTCGTTCGAGCTGAGAAAAGGGAAAAAGTAATCACCCAGGAGGTGAATGAACTGGCTGAACTCCTGATACGCCAGCTTAACAATCGAGTGTCAACTTCATCATAACTGATAGAACGTACTCTACTACTTGCTACTATAGGTTCTACAGTATGTAGAACCAGCCGTATCTCCTACTAGTATTGTGTTTCTATGGATATTATGTCGTAATACTGTCGAATCGTACATTTTCCTATGGAATGTATGCCCTTCAGGCAAGATTTCCTGTATTAAAGATGGCTATTTCTAGTAGAAATGCTATGTGTTTCAAATATGGGGTTTCACTTATGTGCACAAACAAACCATCAAAACCGTTAGATACTCAAGAACCTTGAAACCAAAATAACCTATGAACTCTATCAATAAGACTTAATATTCATGACAAGTTTACAAATTATCTACTATCATAAACACACCATAGGGATATAGATCGAAACATTGTGAACCATACGACAAAACGCGAAAGTTACAGAGTACCACCGGAAATGACCTTCGTTACTTACGATCCTACTTATCATCATGCAGCAGAAGATGTCATTCCACAGAAATAACAAGCACACCCGTGAAGCACCACTCTTGCAGATGGACTTTACTACATTCCAAGTTGCTGTCACCGCTGCCGTAACCGCTGCTATGGCACAACTCAATGCTAACAACACCAACAAGGGTGGAAATAGCGTCGATCACTCCAGCCGAAGTAACAACCCCGAAAACCAACGAATGGCAGCTTATCAAGGCACTCCAAACCCCAAACCTAAGAGCAGGAAGCGAAAGTCTGGGGGAAAGAGAAAGGGGCAGCCAACCCAAAAATCCTCCAAGAAACGACGTACCGTAGCTGTCCTTATGGCCATGACACCTGCTACATCGACACTAGCAAGACCATATGCTGGGAGCCTTCCAAAATGCAACAAGTGCAATCTCCATCATCAGGGAGTCTACCTAAGGCCGTATTGTAATAGAGGTAACAAGAAAGGACACACCACCCGGTACTGCAAATCTCGACCACAACAGAACCAACAGCCAAACCACAACAACATCAACCACAAATGCTGGTGTTAGCCACACCTGCTATGGGTGTGGGAGAACCGGACATTTCCGCCGGAACTGTCCCAACATTAATAACCAAGGAAATTGAGGAGCGGGAAGGGTTCTGGCTATGGGTCAAGGCGAGAAAATTCAAGACCCAACGGTTGTTACTGGTACGTTCCCACTTAACAACTTTTTCCCCTCGCATCTTATTTGATAGTGGAGCTGAGTGAAGCTTCGTTAGTAATAAATTCAAACATTTGCTAAAACAACAACCCCAGAAGCTTAATGAAACCTTTACGGTGGAAATGGCTAATGGGAAAACAGAATCAACTGGGGAAATCTACGTAGGATGTACCCTAACCTTAAATCACCACGCATTTCAAATAAACTTGATGCATGTAACTATTAGGAGTTTTGATGTGATTATCGGCATGGATTGGTTGAGCCCCCATCATGCTGAAATTATGTGTCGCGAGAAGGCCGTTCGCCTTCATCTCCCTAACCACGAAACCCAAATTATATACGAAGACAAACCCAGTATGAACCTTCGTCTTATCTCGTGTATTAAGGCACAGAAGTGTCTACAAAAGAAGAACTTTGCGTTTCTGGCTCACATCGTGGATAAATCCAAGGAAGAGGTTAGTATTCGAGACATGCCAGTGGCTTGCGATTTCCCTGACATCTTTCCTGAAGATCTTCCGGGGATACCCCCAGAAAGACAAGTCGAGTTTCGAATCGACCTTGTGCCAGGAGCTACACCCATCGCCAAATCACCCTATAGGTTGGCTCCTGCCGGAGATGCAAGAACTGTCGAGCCAACTCAGGGAACTCTTGAGCAAAGGATTCATCCGACCTAGCTTCTCACCCTGGGGAGCTCCGATCCTTTTTGTTAAGAAGAAGGACAGATCCTTTAGGATGTGTATCGATTATAGAGAACTGAATAAGCTCACTATCAAAAATCGCTACCCACTTCCACGAATCGACGATCTATTTGACCAACTTCAAGGAGCAAATTACTTCTCTAAGATAGATCTGTGATCCGACTACCACCAACTCAAGGTCCGGGAAGAGGATATCCCCAAGACCGCTTTCCGAACTCGCTATGGACATTATGAATTTGTTGTAATGCCCTTCGGTCTAACGAATGCCCCTGCCGCATTTATGGACCTGATGAATCGAGTTTGCCGACCATTCCTCGACAACTTTGTCATCGTTTTCATCGACGATATTCTGGTCTATTCTCGAAGCGAAGAGGAACATAGTCGACATCTCCGACAAATCTTGGAAACCCTGCGAGCCGAAAAGTTATACGCAAAACTCTCTAAGTGTGAGTTTTGGCTCCGTAGCGTAAACTTTTTAGGTCATGTTGTCAGCCAAGAAGGGATACATGTGGACCCTTCTAAGATCAAAGCCATTGAAGGATGGGCAGTCCCAACGACACCTACAAAAATTCGTCAATTTCTGGGTCTCGTAGGCTATTATAGAAGATTCATTCAGAACTTCTCCAGAACAGCCAAGCCACTTACCACGCTTACACAAAAGGGTGTACCATTTGAATGGACAGAAAAGCAGGAGGTTGCCTTCCGAACTCTGAAACGAGCTCTCGGTAGTGCACCAGTACTATCATTACCAGAGGGAACTGAGGACGTCGTAGTTTACTGCGATGCTTCGAATCAGGGTTTATGCTGTGTACTCATGCAGCGTGGGAATGTGATAGCATATGCATCCCGACAACTAAAGACACATGAGGTGAATTATACCACCCATGATCTCGAATTGGGGGCTGTGGTCTTTGCTTTGAAGATTTGGAGGCACTACCTTTATGGTACAAAGTGCACCATTTTCACTAACCACAAGAGTCTTCAACACATTCTAAATCAAAAGGAGTTAAACATGAGGCAGCGAAGATGGGTTGAGCTGCTAAACGATTATGAGTGCAAAATCAAGTACCACCCAGGCAAGGGTAATGTGGTAGCGGATGCCTTGAGTCGGAAAGAATACTCAAATCATCGTGTGAAAACTCTTTCAATAACCATTCAATCCCATCTGTCCTCGCAAATCAAAGAAGCTCAGTTTGATGCCATGAAGACAGAAAACAGAACAAGTGAAGCGTTACGTGGAATGGAAAAGAACTTCGAAGTCAAGGAGGATGAAGCATATTATTTCATGAACCGAATTTGGGTTCCTAAACTTGGGGAATTCAGAGAGGTATTCATGAATGAGGCCCATAAGACACGATACTCCATCCATCCGGGTTCAGATTCAATGTACCTGGATATCAAGCAACATTATTGGTGGCCTAACATGAAGGCATAAATTGTCACTTACGTTAGCAAGTGCCTCACTTGCGCTAAAGTGAAGGTAGAATATCAGAAGCCCTCAGGACTATTACAACAACCAGTAATACCCGAGTGGAAATGGGAAAGGATTACCATGGACTTTGTGACCAAATTACCCAAGACAACTGATGGATTAGATGCCATATGGGTAATAGTTGATAGGTTGACAAAATCCGCTCATTTCCTGCTAATAAAGGAATCATACAAGATGGAACGATTGACGAGAATCTACATCAAGGAAATTGTGAGACTCCATGGAGTACCAATATCTATCATCTCAGATCGAGATAGTAGATTCACTTCACGCTTTTGGCAATCACTTCAGAAAGCTATGGGAACACAACTCGACATGAGCACTGCTTACCACCCACAAACGGATGGTCAAAGTGAGCGAACCATTCAAACGCTTGAGGATATGCTTCGAGCATGTGTGATAGACTTCGGAAGGTCGTGGGATACCCACTTACCTTTAATTGAGTTTTCGTACAACAACAGTTATCACACAAGCATCAAAGTTGCTCCTTTTGAAGCATTATATGGGCGTAAATGTAGATCACCGTTGTGTTGGGCTGAGGTAGGTGACAATCAGCTAGCAAGAGGACAGACACCAAACAATGCATTAACAGGACCAGAAATCATACGTGAGACGACAGAGAAGATAGTTCAAATCAGAGCTCGACTTCAAGCATCACGAGACCGACATAAGAGCTATGCTGATAAACGGCGAAAGCCCTTGGAATTTCAAGTCGGGGATCGGGTGTTGCTAAAGGTCTCTCCCTGGAAAGGGGTGATTCGTTTCGGGAAACGGGGAAAATTAAACCCACGGTACATTGGGCCATTCAAGATTCTTGCCCGAATCGGTCCAGTGGCCTATAGAGTGCAGCTACCTGGTGAGGTCAGTAGTGTACACCCCGTGTTCCATGTTTCCAATTTGAAGAAGTGCTTATCCGACGAAACTCTTGTCATCCCATTGGAAGAAATCGAAATCAACGAGAATCTCCTGTTCATCGAGGAACCAGTTGAAATCATGGACAGGGAAGTGAAGCGTACTAAGCAAAGTCGCATTCCGATTGTGAAAGTTCGGTGGAACGCAAAACGTGGACCGGAATTCACATGGGAACGCGAAGACCAGATGAAGCAAAAGTACCCTCACCTATTCTCGCATTCTCAAAGCTAGCTTTAAAAAGAATTTCGGGACGAAATTCCCTCTAACGGGGGGACGATGTCACAACTAGGAATTCTAATGCTTTTGTAAACATTAACAATGATAACATTTGTCACTAAAACTTGAAAGTATGCATGATTTTTATTCAATAACACCAAAGTTCCATCAATCACCCTATGCAAACACTTCAAATAGTCAACAAAAGATTGGAAACCCTAAAAATCCCGGTTTAAGTCCATTATGGACTAGGATTTCCTTATTCGGCCTAATGGACCAATAAGTTTCCAATTTGACTAGTTTGGGCTTAGAACCCTTAATTGGGCTCTAATTCAACCCACCTTCATGAGATTTGACATTTTTGGCCCATATTGGGCCTAAAATGGAAATAAACCACTTCAATAAGCCTTATTGGGCCATAACTAGCCTAATTAACCTTGTTGGGCCATAACTAATCTAATTAGCCCTAATGGGCCACAAACCTAATCTTTTATGCTAATTGGGCCGTGAACCACCCTAAGGGCCCAATGGGCCGAAAA